TACAAACGACACACACAAGCCATAGGGTGTCGGGGAATCCAATCGCATCCTAACGCGGCCATATATTTCAGTGGACTGTGAGAAATAACCTTTCTGCTTCATAACTCAGTTGTTTCCTTTCACCCACTACACAGTCATAGCAAAATTGTACGTGGCTCCTCACACCTAAATGACTCCAGAAAATTAATGTCTGTTTTCCATGGATGCAGAGCCCCTGGAATGGGTGGAAAGTACAGGTTCCCTGAGAGTGTCGGGGACAAAAGCAATTGCTATTCAAAGAAACAGAATTGTGCGTTCACCACCCAAAGTCAGTTCTCCTTCCATCGCCATGGATTTGGTGAACAGACAACATGATGTATAGATGATGGATTACAGAACTGCACACTTGAAACCTATGGAATTTTACTAACCATTGTCACCCCAATAAATTTTAATAATAAAAAAAAGAAATAGAATTGGAAGGGCAGGTGGTCAGCCCCCACGCAAGGTGGGTCTACTCAGTACAGGTAGCAAGGGACTGAGGTCAGAGAAATGGAATCGGAGATTATAGCCCTAGGTCTATACCAAGAGCCTTCGGACTTCATTCCCAACTCGGGGTGTGTGTGTGTGTGTGTGTGTGTGTGTGTGTGTGTGTGTGTGTGTGTGTTTCTATGTAATTGCCATTTTTCGGCATGATCCCAGCCCTAATTTTTCTGTCCTATTTTGAGTACTTGGTATGTATTCCAAAATTTTTCATGTACAAAATATCATCGCTGTGTAAATAGTGAACAATATGAGGCCCCCGTTTTATTGTTCATCCTTTTACACTTGGGGGAGCACTTGGCTTCCTGAGAAAAGCTTTCTTAACTCCCCAGGTAATGGAAGTAGGCTCTCTCTAAGCTAATTGAGAGTGGTTCGTTTTACTGTTGCGCCCCCTAGTGCCGAATGCGAGTAGATTCACTTTCTACATGTGCAATATGTAGACCACAGAAGAGAAGCGAAATTTGGAGAAGCAACAATTTGGGTAATTTTTCCTGTATCTTCTTTTGCACCCAATGGAAGGAAGTGTGTGTCCTAGCATGAGTCACAAGGCCGTTTCAGCTTTATCTTCCACCATTTTGCCCTAGGAACACTCAACCTCAACTATTCTGAACCATTTGCTGTTCTGCCTGGAAAACCTTCTGCCCCCTACCCAACCACCACCACCTTTCTTGTCTATTTAAAAAACTTCTACTACTCCTCCTAATATCAGCTGAAGCATTACCTCTTCCCCCAGCTTTCACCTTCTCTGGGTTTCTATTGTCTTATCTGTAAGTAGACCATGGTTAATGCCTGCTCAAAACTCCAATGATTCTATACATTTTTATTAGTATCAAAATACTTAAAGACAAATGAGTTCAGATATTTCTTTTTAATTCCCATAGAATCGTTTATGAAATGTAAGTTTGATTGCATTGAAAATCATGTATTTGCATGTCTGTCATAAAAAAGAATTCCTAAAAAAATTGTGAGGTTACATGGGGATACATTTAAATTGAGCTCATCTGAGATGAGATTTTTCAGGCAGAAATGCCTCTTTTTCTCCCAAAATGACACACACAGAAGTCCAAATTGTAACCTGAAACTTCATCAAGAAACTGTGAATTCTAATTCTGCCATCATTGACACAGAACTAGCCGGTTCCCTTTCCAAAGGACCTCCACTTCTCTTTTTTCCAGCAGGAAAAGGGATAAAAGAATGTAAACTTTTAACAGAGATTTGCTGAAGAATTATCACTAAAAGCCCTCACATCTATAAAGTGCTATGAAAAAGGTGATATAAATCTTGGAAGAGCCCGGCTTCAATAACCGCGAGACACATCAATAAATTATGTTTGTAAATTGACCTTACAGGTCCATTTTTTTTCTGCCTTTGTTCCCAGCTGAAGTTACAGGTAAGGCTGGCAGCCTGATACTTTTAACAGCAGCTGCAATAAATACCCAAACAGTGTATCTTGTTTCTGGCGACAGAGCACTCAATTTTATAACTCGTATCATAGATATTCTTCTAGCACCCACTTCTCCCCCCTTCCTAAATACGGTATTTTGCCTACCCAGAATAGGTTATTTAGATATGCACATAGTAAATAAATAGGTGCAGGCTACAAATATATGTGCAAATTTTATTTCCTCCAGTCCCTTGTTAAAAACCAGGGAATTCATAAGCTCAGACACAAAAATTTATTTACTTACATTTTATTTTGTATTCCTGAAATCCTCATACCATTCTGTGAATATGTATATAAACTACATAACCACAGGCTATCGAGCTGGCAGATATCTTTCTGATCATTTGATCCAACGGCTTCATATTACACATGAGAAAATCAAAGCCCAAAGCGGGAAGTGGGTTATATGAGAGTGGGTAAGAGCTATCTTTTTTTTCCCCTGACATCTCAAAGGCAAAACTTCTGCTTTTCACGTTAGTCAATATAACGTAACCGAATGATGAGAAAACGGAGTTTACTAAGTGAACTTGATTGAAGGGGAAGTGGACTGTCAAATGGAGTTTAATAGCTAGGTCTGTGTTTTGACAGACTTATCCACATAGGCAATTCTTCTTATAAGGCTAAAATTAAATCTAAAAAATAAGGAAAAATCATGATTACTTTCCAAATATCTTTCTTCTATAATAAAAGAGATCCAACTTAACTGGGTAAATAATGAGTATTTCAGCTCTATTTCACTTCACATACAGATCACTGTAATATTGTTTTATAAAATTAGAGGGTTTTTTGCGTCATCATCTACCTCATCCTTTGACCAATATTTCAAACAATTTTATCAATGAGTTTAGAAAAGCTACCAGTCTATGTCCATTTTTCAACAGCTACTCTACACCCTTCTCAAACTCTCCCATTCTCTCTCTCTCTCTCTCTCTCTCTCTCTCTCTCTCTCTCTCTCACACACACACACACACACACACACACACACACACACGCCCTGCCGCCACTCCACCATTTGATCAAGTTCCAAGGAGAACACACACAATCTATCTATGCTATCTTTCTCCCTAATAAAGTATATGAGATAAAAAGGGAAGAACCCATTGTGCTTGCCTGGGTCCTAGAAGAGTAGAAGAAATTATGTGAACTAAAATAGTCTAGCAAGAAATAAGGGGGGGGGGAGAAATTAAGTTAGTGTCAAGCAAAGAATTTCAAATACCTGTGCCCCCAAAATTCTGTATCCGAGTACCTGACAGCAGCACATTTCTTGAACAAATAGCTCTAATGTACTGCCTATGTCTTTGCTTCCATTTCCATGCTAGGATCAGAGCAAGCTCGCCGTGAATTCTAGTGTCCTGGAAACCAGCCCTCAGCTTTGCTTCGGGCTCTGTCACTGAGTGGCTGGGTGACTTGCCAGAAAGGACCCTTCTCCTCAGTGTCCCCTGGATGTTGGTTGTCTGGGGCAGCCCCGCCACCAGCTGGCTGGCTCTGTGTGTTTCACCTTTTGCTCTTTCGTGCTCAGAGCCTTGATCGGGGCCATGTGTCCTGTCTTCTTATCGCCCCACAGCGTAAGGAAACACACAACATTGTGGTTGTTTAAAAAACCACTCTCAGGGCTCTCGGACCTGGTGAATGCACTCAGCTTTTCTATTTTTGGTGACTCTCTTTGTTTTCTTCTCGGAAGTGTCTAATTCCGGTCTGTGTCTTGGGCATCGTGCCACAGACACATGGAGCCTCCCCCGCACCTGCTCCCCAAATTGCCTACTCTCATTATGCCCAAAAGGTTCTGCATAGAGAAGGAAAGGCGTGGCTTGATGAGCAGAGGGTGAGTGGATTGTTGTGCTCAGTGGTCTGTACACTTGAGCATGACACCGACTACACATCTGGAATTTGGGGACGTGAGCCCTCGCTGCAGTGCAGCCATCACAACTGCACTCCCACCAGCCTCTGTGCACCAAAAACCCCCGTTTCCAGTAGACAAAAGCAAGCCGGGGCATTGGTTAGGACCCCACACGTCTTATCCTGGTCCTGTGTGAGGCACCAGGTCTCTGACATGTCCATCAGAAATAAAAGTCCCTATTGTCTGATCTTTACCAAGGAGAGACTTTCCTAACCCAAAGCAACCGACCAGACAAACAAGAAGGATCAGACCAGCCCCAACCAGGGAACATGGGCAGACCCCCCATTTCTTCTCTTTTCAGTGGAGTCGCGTGTCGTCCAGAACATCCTTAAAGACCTAATCATGTTTATAGGTATGAACAAGTAAATAAGAAAAAATAATGTAAAAGGGGCTAGAATAAAGAGAAGGGAAAATAGAAAGAATAGCTTCATCGAGTGGGGGAAATACTGGAAAGATGATCACCCACCACGTAATGTATTGGACAAAGTGGACAAAAGACCGAGTGATGTCTCTAAGTTGTGATTGGTAGAGGATGACTGTGAGAATCAATATCTGATTAAGTCGATGGAATAAATGTTTGGCCATGTGCACATCCACACACGAACACACACATCTCTGCCTCTAAAACACACAGGTTAGCCATTTAAAAGAACCTAACGTTGATGCCTTCAGCATTCTTAAAAAGCAGGAGCAAATGTCCTGGAGTGTCTATGAGTTTTATGAATACAACGGAAAAGTGGAACTGGGCTCATTCTTTCCTTCTTATATAAATTCCCTAATCAGACGCTTACTAGCAGACTGGGTAAACCAAGTATATCAGCGACTCAAAGTTTCCAAGTGATAGCTCATAAAGGGATAACCAGGATTCTTGCATTGCAAAGAAAATCAGAGAATAACCCAGAAGCAGCGCCCCAGCCCTACCTCCACTGTGCCCCACCACTGCCACAACTGAAAAGAAGGAAGGAAAAGAGAGACAGGAGGGGGTTTGACTGTATTTTACAATCACTGAAGGGGAAAGATAAAAAAAAAAAACTCAACAACTTTGGCCTCAGATCATTTCCAAGTGACTGTTTGCAGCTGTTGGAGCTGCCATCAGTAGGAGCTGTTGGAGACGAAGTGCCCGGTGGTGCATCTTACCTGAGAAGCATGGAAGTGCAGGCAGACGTAGGTAAGACAGAGGAGCAGCCCCAGACCCTGAATTATGGAGGTCGCCAGCAATAGCTTCCTGGTCTGGAATCTCCGCCGTGGTGTGTTTTCCACGTTCTCGTCTGGGGGTTGGACCCCTTCCATCTTCACAACCTGGATTCAGAAAAAAAGGAAAACTGTGGCAAAAGGAAATCTGAGGGAGGACTGGCCTCTTCCTTACGAAGAAGGAGATAAGGTCAAAATAAAACACATCTATCAGAAAATACACAAAGGTCCCAGGACCAGAGATAAGAGGCGATTGAAAGAGCCAAGAGGACTCTCTCAGTTTTAATGCTGCAACTTTTGCAGGCAGGCGGGGGAACTTCTTTGTGACTAATCTGAATTTCCCCTTTACTTTCTTTCTTTTTTTTTTTTTTCTTCTCTGGGCTACCAGGGAGTTGTTTTTGTGGCATTCCAGTACTGATTTGAGTGACTGTGAAATGACAGTCATAAAAGCGTGCTATTTTCTTAATTTCTCATTGCACCAGTAACCAATTTGTGGGTCACTTATAGAGATAAAAATCATCATCCGTTGATGTAGGAACTTATCTATCCCTGCCCTGAGGTGTCTTAGATCATAGAAGAGATTTAAGGAAAATGGTGGTAGCTAAGCATTGAACCCATTCTACAGATTCGGGAGGGATAGGGGGAAGCACAGACAGACCATTCTCGAAGTGAAAAAGAGAAAAGAAGAAAATAGGACAGTGGATGATGTAGAGATAAAGGAGTGGGATCCTCTCATTTTAACCCATTACATTATAATAAATAAACTAGTATGTCCTGAGCATCCACTGTGTCAAGACAAGGTACTTGGCAGCCGTAGGATCTGGTTCTCATTTAATCCTTTCAGACAAGTTTAGTAAACACTTAGATGATTAGTGTTAAGGGAGCAGAAGAGCATCCTGACTTTTCACCCTTCCCTACGCTTTACTTTCTCCCCAGGCCTAATTGCGCATAAATGAACAAAATGAATAGATTCAAACAAGCTTTGAAGATTGCTCCTTTCTTTGGAGTCAGGGCGCGACTCAGAACTTGGAAAGTAAGAGTATTCTACCTATGGACAGACACTACTTACTCTTTTCCACTGAAATAAATGATAAACTTATTCGTACAGTTAAGCTCAAATCAACAAATATTTTGCTTCATGCATAGTCAGCCCAGGGTTACTCTTCTCTGAGCTCCCCAGCAGTCACTCAACAGCTGTTTAAAGAAAGAAGGGAGGGAGGAATATTTTGATATCAACAATATGAGATGTTATATGCAGCTTAGTTTTATAGAATATGGACATGAGGCCTATTCAAAAGAAAAACAATTTGTGGAAAAAGGAAAGTGCATTTATTATTACAGTATTAATTAAAACCTGAAGTAAATACCCTCATGATAATCATTACACCTTGCATTTGGAGAACATACTGGTCTTCAGAAATTCAAGTTTTTGTCTGAAAGACAAGGGAACTGAAATGCGGTATCATAGACCCCAAGCCAAAACCAAAAATCAAGGTCCATCCAAACATATCTCAAAATGGTCATTCCTATGAGCAAAGTATATGTAACATACAGGGTGTGGAGGGAAAAAAACTGAAAGAAAAATCAGTGTGTACTGCCCAATGTTTGCATAATAGTTAATAGCCATAAATAAACATTAAAATTGGCAACTATTTACTCATTTATGTTAAAAAACTAAAAGAGTCACAGCAAAAAAAAAAAAGCCTAAAAGAAAACTGAAGAGACAGCCTGAAGAAGAAATAGTGAAAACTATTAATGCTGAAAAGCAAAGAAAATATTTTTAAGTGACCTCCAAAAGGACGGAAAAAAAAAATTGCGGAGTACATACCTATGTCGTGAGCAGCAGCTCTTCTCACTGTTAACATCATGGCTTCTACTGACAACTGCTGTTTTTCCTTATAGACAATGAGCACTGCGCAATGGAACGAATTTCCACTTTTGTTTGGTCGCGGGAAAGCACAGGGTCTCCTCTACCGACATTTGGGCAGACACATGGAAAGCATATGTCTCATCTCCCTTATCAGTCTCCCGTCATGCTTCGCCTACTTGTAATATTCGGTTGAAGTTTAAGTGATATTTTATGTTTGTTTCTTTTTTAATGAAACACATTGTCACAGCTGCTCCACATGTGGGAAGAGGGAGCATATGCGCAGAAAAACTGATATAAAATTGCCTTGGCTTGGCTTGGAAGTTCCAGGCAAGACCCTTGGATAGACAGTGTAAGCATTTCACATCTGGAACACATGAAACCACCACGAGAGGTATTGCTGATGGCATTTCAATCGTGGACAGATGGGCAGAGCCCTCCATCTTCAAAGTTGACATTTTGTTTGTTTGTTTGTCCCCCCTTCTCCAAGCCATTGTTCTTCAGTCTAGTTGTGGAGGACGCCATTCACTGGCCCATGTTGGTGTTATCATGATTGCACCCTACCTGACTCAGTCCGCTCACAGCAGTTCTCGCCAACTGCCAGCCACTCACGCTGGCTGCGGGCCACTCAACGGCAGCCCAGCTTCAGGTCAAGCCACTGTTCACCATCTTAGCTGTAGAGGGCGCAGCATACTGACCCATGCAGGAATCATACCAGCAGCCCTGTTGTTCAGAGCTCACACTCTTACCAACTGAGCTATCCGGCAGCCCCAAAGGTGACATATTTTTAAAGAGGTTAAGTATGTTACCTCAATCTATGGGCACTTTGTTGTCGTTGGTTTTTTTTGAAGCCTCACAAAGATCAAACACACAGACGCACCTGTGCAAACCAGCCTTATAATGAAAGCCTCAGACTTCATTACAAGCAGTTACCTCCCCAAAGATCTTTAACTTCTAACTGAATAGCCCTTTCAAGACTATAGGAAAGTAGGGAGAATAAAAAGACTTTGACAACTGATAGAATGTCTCACATTTAGAAAGCAGCAAAAACACTTCTTTGATTTTTTTTGCTTTGGGGTTTTTGTTTGGTTTTTTTGTTTGTTGGTTTGGTTTTGGGGGCAGGGGTGGTCAAATTTGTACTTTTCATTTGTTTCTGTGTGTCCATTCAACAAGCACACACCAGTTACCTCCATACCAGTGCCAGGGGAAAGACGGAGTAGAACATGTTCTCCAAGCAAGTGTTGGGTCCAAGTAGCTGTGCAGAACGGGAGGACACCCACAGGGGCGGATTCCCATGCAGACCGGAATTAGGGCTGGGAAAGCTTCCTTGAGATGAGTCAAGTAAATCTTGGAGAAACCAGAAGCCATCTGGCCATCTGGGGGAGTGTGGCGCGGCCGTGACTGCCAGGCAGGGGTGAGGAAAGTGCAGCCTGGGCAAAATCCAGTTGTGCATTTGTCATCTAGGGAAGTGCAACTGGAGGGGAGGGCAGTGAGCAGAGTGGCCCGGGAAGAGGCTGAGAAGCTGCCGTGTATGGACTTTTGTTACAAGTTAAGAACTTAGAAGTTTGGGCCAGCCGAGTGGCTCAGTTGGTTAAGAGCGCGACCTCTGAGCAACAGGATCGCCGGTTTGATTCCCACATGGGCCAGTGAGCTGCACCTGAGCTGAACTGCCAACAGGTGGCAGGATGGCTCAACTGGTGAGAGCACATGTTCCTAACAACAAGGTTGCCGGTTCAACTCCCACATGGGATGGTGGGCTACACGCCCCGGACAACTTAGATTGAACACAGCACCTTGAGATGAGCTGCCACAAGCAGCCGATGGGCGGCGAGATGATGACTGCACTTGGGGCTGAGCTAGCTGCGCCCTCCACAACTAAGACTGAAGGACAACAACTTGGCTATTCCCCTTCCCCAATTCCCCAATACTGTTCCCCTCCCCCAACTCCCCAATAAAATCTTAAATAAATAAATAAGAACTTAGAACTGTATCCTGAAAACATGGGGGGAGCATGGAGAGGTTTGAAACAGAATGTGAAATGATTACTCTTTAGGGGAAAAAAAATCACTCCAAGTGAAGTAGACGTGGCAGGGTAAGATCAAGACTTTTCTAGGGTGCCACATGCTGGCTGAAGAGATGAGTGGTATCTAAACCCCATCTCTGTCCTCAGCAGTCCCAACCCGCCATCCTGGATTGGAAGGAAGGGGAGTCATCCTACAGGAAGGAGAGTCCTGGTCATCCCACAAAGGTGTGCGCTGCACCCCAAGTCCCAAACAAAGGGCTGCGCCCACCCAGAAAGAGGCTCCTGTTTCTAATTCATAAACTCAGAAATGGCACTTTGCTCTAATGGACACGAAGACAGCAGTTTGAGCTGGAGCGGTCCTTGGGCTTTCAATTATTTACGTAAGAAATAATAAGGTCCCAAAGTAAAGCAGAGAGGGTCCCAGGAGGAGAAGATAGTTACAGGGCTCTGCATTCACCAAACATTTTGAGGGCCTACTCTGTGGCCCCTTGCAAGCGTACAAAGGGGGTCCTAACTAAGCTGTCCCCTGACACAGGGGACAGAAGGGAATGGGAGGTGACGGAGACCAATGCATTTCAAAGACCAAAACCCTGACTTGCTGTCTGCCTTCTCAGCCTCCTCTTGATCATAAAGTCCCTGATTGATTCAGGCTTCTGGCACTCCAGGATCTCCAAACCCCAGAATCAGCTTTGACTCTTTCTGGCCCCAGTCAGTCAAGCTTTGGAGGGCAGCCCTGCGATACGGCTCAAAATTCCCTCCACTTGGCTATTCCTACCACTCTGATCCAAGTCCTCCTTACTCCTCACTTGAACTCCTGGATTAAACTGCCAGCTGTTCTCCTGACTTCCGTTCTCTTTGATCTCAGACCCATTCTGCTTAGCCAGCCTCTTTAATCCCAGTGATGACCCAGATCTATCAAGGGACCTCCCTTTCGGAGCCCCAGGTTTCTCTCCAAACTCATCTCCCTCTATTTCCTGCTTGCTTATCGCTGACAGTCACTTTGCCTCAGATAGCCTCATGCCCCATCTCTGATGATCAAAAGCCTACACACTCACACTCTCCATGAAGGGCTGGCTGCCCTTGTGAGGTAATGAGCTTGCAGGGTTCCAGATGTGGCTAAACAACACCCTGAAGGAACACTGTTCAAAGAATTCAAGCCTTGGGTAGAGAATTGGTAGAATCAGCAGTTCCCAAAGCCTAGCCAATCATCAGAATCACTAGGAGAACTTTTGAAA